TTTTAATCAGTTTTTTTAGCAGTTTATTTACCACATAATTCGGTCTGACTTTTAAACACGTGCATTCCTAAATAAATAGAGTATTAGTTTGCATTAATTTTATTCCAAGCCGTGCATCGCACGGGTTAGATTACTAGTCTTATATATAAAAGAAAGAAACGCTGGGCAACCCTAAAAAACCCTAATGGTATTTCTGTAATTATTTATTTTTAATATTTTTTACTAATTTCTAACTATAATTTTAACAATTATCAATCTCTGATTTTTTATCAATATTATGTATTACATTGATTATTTTTTTCACTTTTGAAATAATATTCCGTGCATCGCACGGGGGAAAAATGCTAGTAAATTATTAAAAATGATAGTACTAATTGTGATGTTCACTATTATTAATATTAAAAATCTCCACTAATAACAAATATATATATATATATATATATATATATATATATATATATATATATATATATATATATATATATATATATATATATATATATATATATATATATATATATATATATATATATATATATATATATATATATATATATAGATATATGTTTATATATATATATATATATATAAAAAAATATATATTTATATTTACACTTATAAATACCCCTAATCCAATTTTCACAACTTTTATTTTATTTAATTTATCTCTCTATATTACACGTATATTTTTTTCTCTAAAAGTTTAGAGTGTTTAAGCTCCTCTTTTTTTTTTAATTTTGAATTTAAAGTTAATCTCAAGTTTTAATTTAAGTTTTTTTTCCTTTATTGTGGTTATTTGAAAAAAAAATTGGAAAACCGGTTAGGACCCGGACCCGGCCCGAACCCCGATGAACGGACCCTGGACCCGGACCAGCCTTTCCACGGGTCAATTTCGGGTCCCCTAAAAGTCGGACCCGGACCCGACCCGCCTCCCCACGGGTCGGTTTCGGGTCCCCTAAAAGTCGCGCCCGGACCCGCCCGCCCCGTGGTCGTCTCTAGTCGCCCATGCAATCTGATTTATACGATTACACTTTTCTCCCGCTTCTTGCATTTACTTTGTAAATGACCAATGTATCATCGGGAAAATATATATACTTAACAGCTATTATATTCCTATTATCAATCGCAACTCCCTCCTAGTTATTCCATAAATTAGTTTATAAGCAATTAATATATCAAGGACTATTTTTGTTGGGTTGATGGGATGGAATTGGATTAGGACATCATTTTCGAAAAACACTGCGTGGATTGATGCTTTTAGACTGCAAACTCGGATATGGTTCGCCGGATTCGGTGTGGTCGGATTAGACACGGCCATGGGACGGTTTTGGGCCTGGAACCGGCCTGAACCGGCCCGTTGATGGCCCAAACCGGCCCGTTGACCGGGTGAACCGGCTCGGACCCGTGAACCGGCCCGTCCTACCCGGGACGAGCCCGGTTCTAAGAAATGGTGAACCGTGAACCGCCGGGCCGGCCCGGCGGTTCACCCGGATTTAAAAAAAAAAAAAGAAAATTCAAAAAAATTCAAAAAAAAGCAAATAACGGCTAGTGAACCGGCCGTTATTTACTTTTTTTTTTGAATTTTTTCCCCCTCAATTTACTTATTTATCAAATATTTCAAAAAAACAAAAAAAAAATTCAAAATTTCCGGACTGACCCGGAACCGGCCCGAACCGGCGGGCCGACCCGGCCCGCTGAACCATCCATACTACGGGCCGGTTCCGGTTCCGGAAAATGTGAACCGTGAACCGGTTTGAACCGGCCCGAAATCGGCCCGAACCGGTCCGTGACCGTGTGTAGATTAGGAGATCCATCAGCCCCAAATCAGCCCACCAAAACCGCCCCAAGGGTAATTTTGTCACTTTCGATATATATATATATATATATATATATATATATATATATATATATATATATATATATATATATATATATATATATATATATATATATATAATTTTGAAAAATATATATATAAAAAAAATACGATTTAATTTAAAAGAAAGATTGAAATTTGTTTTTTTTAAATTTTGAAATTTTGAAAAAAATTCAATTATTATTTTCACTTATAAATACCCCTAATCCAATTTTCACAACTTTTATTTTATTTAGTTTATGTCTCGATATTAATCGTTTAATTTTTTTTCTAAAATTGTTTAGTGTTTAAGTTCAACTTTTTTTTTTAATTTTGAATTTAAAGTTAATCTCAAGTTTTAATTTAAGTTTTTTTTCCTTTATTGTGGTTATTTGAAAAAAAAATTGGAAAACCGGTTAGGACCCGGACCCGGCCCGAACCCCGATGAACGGACCCTGGACCCGGACCAGCCTTTCCACGGGTCAATTTCGGGTCCCCTAAAAGTCGGACCCGGACCCGACCCGCCTCCCCACGGGTCGGTTTCGGGTCCCCTAAAAGTCGCGCCCGGACCCGCCCGCCCCGTGGTCGTCTCTAGTCGCCCATGCAATCTGATTTATACGATTACACTTTTCTCCCGCTTCTTGCATTTACTTTGTAAATGACCAATGTATCATCGGGAAAATATATATACTTAACAGCTATTATATTCCTATTATCAATCGCAACTCCCTCCTAGTTATTCCATAAATTAGTTTATAAGCAATTAATATATCAAGGACTATTTTTGTTGGGTTGATGGGATGGAATTGGATTAGGACATCATTTTCGAAAAACACTGCGTGGATTGATGCTTTTAGACTGCAAACTCGGATATGGTTCGCCGGATTCGGTGTGGTCGGATTAGACACGGCCATGGGACGGTTTTGGGCCTGGAACCGGCCTGAACCGGCCCGTTGATGGCCCAAACCGGCCCGTTGACCGGGTGAACCGGCTCGGACCCGTGAACCGGCCCGTCCTACCCGGGACGAGCCCGGTTCTAAGAAATGGTGAACCGTGAACCGCCGGGCCGGCCCGGCGGTTCACCCGGATTTAAAAAAAAAAAAAGAAAATTCAAAAAAATTCAAAAAAAAGCAAATAACGGCTAGTGAACCGGCCGTTATTTACTTTTTTTTTTGAATTTTTTCCCCCTCAATTTACTTATTTATCAAATATTTCAAAAAAACAAAAAAAAAATTCAAAATTTCCGGACTGACCCGGAACCGGCCCGAACCGGCGGGCCGACCCGGCCCGCTGAACCATCCATACTACGGGCCGGTTCCGGTTCCGGAAAATGTGAACCGTGAACTGGTAGATACGGCCCGAAATCGGGCAGAACTGGATAGTGACCGTGTGTAGATTAGGAGATCCATCAGCCCCAAATCAGTCCACCAAAAACGGCCCAAGGGTAATTTTGTCACTTTCGATATATATATATATATATATATATCTATCTATATATCTATATATATATATACATTTGAAATTAGTTGCATCTTTATTGATTTTTGTACTTAGGATAGATAAATATTTGGCACAGACGAAGTTACCCCAAGATTAAAAGTACTGTAAATACTTGAATTTTAAGATTTTTTTTTATTAAAAAAATACCAAATACTATGAATAGGGGTGCAAGTTGGAACGGAATTTCCAATTTCAGACGGTTCCGATTCGAAAAGTTCCGATTTTGGAACACCTTTTTTTATTCCGACTTTCAAAATTTCGATTTCTGAATTTTTCCGATTTTTTTGGATTGGAATTGGAATTATATAAAACAAATTTGGAACTTCCGATTTCCAATCCGATTTAATTTCGAAATTAATTCCGAAAAATTCCATTTTTTTCCGAAACATACAGCTGTAAATAATATATATTATATAAAACTTATTTTCCGAAAAATGCACCTATAAGTTTTGTTTTAGGATTTTGACATAATGAATTTTCGTTAGAAGTTTTATTGGATATTATGTTGTGTTTATTTTTATTTATTTTTTACTGAAATTTAATAGTTATTAGTCTTACTTTTATCAACGTGGATGTTCTTATTTTTGAAAAATTATGAACATTATAGAAAATTTCGGCTAAGTTTTGAAATTTTAAAGCTTATGTGATTTCCGATTTTTTTCCGAAATTCCAAAATTTCCGAGCCTTTTGGAATTGGAATATATTTTTAGATTCCGAAAATTTTGGAATTGGAATTGAAATTGATTTAATACTTCCGAATCTATGTGGAAATTTTTCGAAAAGGCTAGTTCCGATCTGATCCATCCAACTTTCAGCGCTAACATCAATTGAATTTAGAAAATATATGTAATATTACAAAATTATCCTTCCAATTTTCTCTTCTTTATTTATTTATTTATTTATAATTATTAAGAAAAAGTAATTCGATTTTTGATGGACTGATTTGGTTAAGGGGATATCGTATTGTCCGAAACCAATAGCAGTCAGTCACTCCGCTTCCCAAGATAACAAACGGCCACCAAATCGGAGCCGGAGCACAATTCGGATTCGGGCTCCGATTCCGAGCCCGACCCGGCCTAAATGGCTACTCCTTTCGCTCTCAACGCCGCCCTCTTTCCTTCTCGCAACAATTTAATCCTCCTTAAAAGCGGGTCGACCCGTGGACGAGCCGCTCCGCTCGAAGCAGCTGGTTTCTCAACTCGGCTGATTCACCGCCGCATATGTCGCTCCGCCTTCCGCGTCGCCGCCGTGGCAAGTTCCGTCGAGGAACAGCCCAACTCTTCTTCAGGTTTTCCTCATTCAGATTGGGAATTTGCGTACTGTAGAGTGTTGAGTGTTGCGTGTTGACTTGATAATTTATCTTAAATTTGAAAATAACGATGAATTTTAGTGTTGGAATTGTGTAGACTTGGTTCAGAAGAGGAATTGAAATTGGATGCCCTAGTAATTTAATGCTCTTGCTACTGGTTTAGCTGTTAATTAAGTCCTTCTAAACTAATTTTGTGCATTATCCTTGCAAAATTGTTTTATGAATTTGAATTATTTGGAGAAAAATCTTAAATAGAGTAAAGTGCAGATGAATCTTGTGTTCATGCCTCAACAATTTGAATTTATTAGCATTGTCTTGTGTGATTGTTGACTGTTGTTGACTGTCGTCTGTCGTATGCTAGTCGACTTGTTGCACGAAAACGAAGCTCTCGTCAAACGATTTAGTTTTTTTTTGCATTGATTTGTATTAATGTCTAGTTCCATTTGAGTCTTCTGTTAGCATCGTTCCTAAATGCGTTTGCATCGTTCTCGTTTGCAGCTCGGGATATTGAGAATCTGGTGATAATAGGATCAGGCCCCGCAGGATACACAGCAGCAATATATGCTGCTAGAGCCAATCTGAAGCCCGTAGTGTTTGAAGGGTATCAAGTTGGTGGTGTTCCAGGTGGGCAATTGATGACCACAACTGAAGTCGAGAATTTCCCGGGTTTTCCCGATGGAATAACTGGTCCAGACTTAATGGATAGGTATTTTATTTCGACTCTAGAAAAGTGCCCTGTTTTCGTTAGATCTCGATTCAGGCTTTGCTAATATTCTCTCGGATTTTTTTTTTGTCAATAGGATGCGACGGCAAGCCGAGCGTTGGGGAGCGGAATTATATCAAGAAGATGTGGAATTCGTTGATGTGAGAAACAGACCTTTCACAGTGCAAAGTAGCGAACGCAAGGTAATAAATAGCACAAGTATCGTATTTTTGAGAATTTTTCAACTGTCTACACTTTGGTGAATACAGATTTTTTTTTGTCGATTTTTTCAGGTAAAATGCCACAGTATTATATATGCTACTGGGGCAACTGCAAGGAGGCTGAGATTGCCTCGAGAAGACGAGTTTTGGAGTAGAGGAATCAGTGCATGTGCAATTTGTGATGGAGCATCTCCGTTGTTTAAAGGACAAGTCCTTGCTGTCGTCGGAGGAGGCGACACAGCTACAGAGGAAGCTCTGTACTTGACTAAATACGCTCGTCATGTACACTTACTTGTTCGTCGGGACCAATTGAGGGCATCGAAAGCAATGCAAGATAGGTGAGTTTATACATACTTGAAATATATCTTTATCCTTTTTAAGTTGTTAATCGGGCTTTATTTTTTAGTAATATTTTTACTTTGAGGTGTCGAAATAAGGTTCGTACAGGAACTTGTTCTCTCTCTTATCTGCTTCTTCTTACAATATTGTGACTTTTGATTAAAACCTGCGTCTATCATAAATCATGTTTTCACCAAGGCCTCGTTTGGTTGCCAAAATAGGATTAGCCAATTGTTTTATTGGACCCCGGAAGGTCCAACGAAAAAGCTCCCTAAATATAATATTTCCGGGTCGACCCGGGCAGTTATTGGGTTTACCAAACATCAAAAAAAGTCTCCAATTATTAATTAATCATGGCTAATCTCCCCAACCAAATGTACAAAGTGAAGTTTGACAACAGTTGTGAATTTATCCGAAGAACTCTTGCTTGAGTGTTGTTAGTTTCTCAATTAGAATACACATCTAATGAAGGATAACAATTGCATTGGTGTATACAAACGTAAAAAATTATAACTATGCCTCGAAAAAACACTTATTTAATAACCATCATAATCCTTATAATTTATTTCTTAGGATTATATATCATACGGGATTGAATTACTAATAAGCAATTTTTTTGAAGTTTCAAGTTCGTGAATGTTTGTTTAACAGGTTGATATTATGGCGAATGTTTCAGAGTATTCAACAACCCAAACGTGACCGTCCACTTCAATACAGAACCAGTGGATGTTGTCAGCAACACTAAAGGGCAAATGTCCGGAATATTGGTCAGAAAAGTCAACACTAATGAAGAATCCGTTCTCGAATTAAAAGGCTTGTTTTACGGAATCGGTCATTCACCGAACAGCCAGTTGTTGGATGGCCAGGTGGATCTCGATTCCTCTGGCTATGTTTTGGTTCAAGAAGGTTCCGCAAGAACTTCCGTTGACGGTGTATTTGCTGCTGGTGATGTACAGGTAATAATAATAATATCGCATACATTTGACTAGTAGTTATGCTATTTTTTTTCTGTCTTAATCTCATGAACTAGGATCTTGGTTTTTGTTGTCTGAAAATTAGGATCATGAATGGAGACAAGCTGTAACTGCAGCTGGATCGGGATGCGTTGCAGCTCTCTCGGTCGAAAGATATCTTACGAGCGAAGATCTACTCATCGAATTTCATCAGGTATGCGACCACACAACAACACACACACACGAAAAAAAAAAAAAAAAAGTTGATTGAAACTGTCTTACGTTTTTATTTATTATTAAAATACAGCCTGTGACGGAAGAGGTTAAGAAAGAACTTACCGATAAAGATGTAAACGAAGGTTTCGATATCACACTGACGAAACACAGGGGTCAGGTATGCGTGACTTCTCTACAAGGTTTTTAACTTATCGAACTTATATAAATACGATATTATTTACGTATTGAATTTTTTGTTGTCATTGTAGTATGCTCTACGGAAGCTGTACCATGAAAGCCCAAGACTTATATGTGTTCTATATACGTCGCCGACATGTGGTCCTTGTCGGACCTTGAAGCCAATTCTTAGCAAGGTATTGTATATATATATTAGCGATTACTAGAAGAAAAAAGAAGCAGAACTGAGTTTGGATTACTTGTTAGTCAAAGTGATTTATTTATATATATATATATATATATATATATATATATATATATATATATATATATATATTTTTTTTTTTTTTTTTAGTCAAAGTGATTTATTACACATGCTTACGATTACACAACGAAATGTCCTGAAACGCTGTACGATGAACTTGTCTGTGGGCAGGTAATAGAAGAATTCGACAAGAATGTCCATTTTGTGGAGATCGACATCGAGGAAGATCAAGAAATTGCCGAGGCAGCCGGAATTATGGGCACACCTTGTGTACAGTTTTTCAAGAACAAGGAAATGATCAGGTTCGTTAATATAATAATAATAAAATATTTATAACGAGGCTAGATTATGATTTACGGTGCAGTTATCGACTGCATTAAAGAAAATATATGTTGATATCGCTTTTTCGATTCCAATCTACAGGACTCTATCGGGTGTGAAAATGAAGAAAGAGTACAGAACATTCATCGAAGCAAATAAGTAAGTCGGTCTTTCCGGAAATTTTATCGATTCATATTCAATTTTGATATTTTTTCCTAAATGTGGAAAAATAGCAAATATTTGGCTTGTTAAATGTGAGCATTGAATATTATCCAATCTACGTGGAATAATATATATGTAAGAATAAAACTGTGGAGTTCCTCTTGCAAACATCTGACCTAATTTTCTGAACTAGGTTAAGCCACGTCTGTTGGGAATAAAAATATTTAAAAATTGTTGTTTTATAATTAACAATACATGCATATTAATCCAAATTTAAATTATTAAAATCCCTTTTTGGCATAGAATCTTTATAGGGTTTGTAAATACAATATTATCTATTTTTTTAAATAAACCATGTGCAAACTTTAGTGCTTCCAAATTGAAGCATCACGAATTGCCCTACTCCCCAACCCCAATTTGTATTTTTATTTAATTGCTTACAATTAGGATTTGTCATTTAATATTCAAGTTTGGCATATTTTATACCCCTATTTACAAATAAGTGATCTAAATAAGTATGCCTACCATGATCAAATTTTTTTTTTTTCAATTGAAATTCAACTAACTATGTAAGTTATGATATATAGAATATAGAAATGGTGTCCCCTAAGGGATGGTAGCAGTTGGAGCAAGTGATCATATGTCAATTGATCAAATTTACTTGTCAATAATTGTTAGGTCGAACTTGTCACACATGGTTAGCTAGTGTGGTTTACGTCTCTCGTATGGTTTGCTGCAAGCTATTATACGAGAGTGTAGATTTACGCAGTGCAACTATATTGTTGACTGCGGGTTACTTCATTATTTAAAAAAAGAAAACAAATATACAAATGTTGCAACTTAAGCAACATATTAATAATAGAAAAGCATCCCACATCAAGAAAAAAAGGTACAAGTATAATATATAAACCATATGAAGTAGAAGGCCCTCCTCAACAATCAATTTTCTCCAAATTTAATTAATTTTTTTTTTTTTTTTGAGATGCAAATTTAATTAATTATAATACAGAGACTTATGATTATTAAATGTAAGAAATCCCCTCAAAGCAACATATGGAATACTAATTAAAATATTTGTGTGTAATAATGTAAAATATAACAACAATATAATAATAATAAATCAAACTCTAAGCAAGAAAATACTGAGTTCGGGCCCACCGTTTCCATCCGGGTTGAGCATGTAGAACGCCTCCGAGTCACGGCTACCCACCACCCTCTCGAACCGGGCCCTCATGTACAGCAGCTCACCCTCCGCCGCGCTGCTTTTCCCGCCGTCGTCCACCACCGGAATCACCCCCGCCCCGACGGACACGCTCTGCACCGTCCTCAGCACGTGCCAGTCCGACTCCGTGCACGCCCTCGTCGCCGCGTACCCGCACTTCCTCCCGTTGCAGTACATCGTCCACGTGGGCTCCCCGAACAGCCTCACCGCCGCCGCCCTCCCCCCTACGCCGCCGCGCGGCTGGTGGATCTTCTCGCACTCCAGGGCGATCCTCACCATCCCGGAGGACATCTCCTTCACCAGCGCGGAGGTCGACACGGCGAGCTCCGCCAGCAGAACCGGCTCGGATCTCGGGTCGTACTGGACGGCGAAGCTGACGTGGCCCCTGCGGTGGCCGAAGAGGGTTCCGGTGACCTTCCGGCCGAGCGAGGGGGTGACGGCGAGTTGGTTTGGGACGCCGAGCCATCTGGGCAGGATGGTTGGAAAGGTGAAAACCGAGAGGAGCGACCGGAGTAAGGCGGAGACGCCGCTGCGGCCTCTGCTCAGGAAGCTGAAGGCGGTGGTGGTGGAGTTGGAGGGGCGGCGGACTATGGCACGGTGGTGGAAATCCTCGACCGAGTCGAGGGACGACGAAGTTGATCTTAAAAAGTTGCCGGAGACAACTATCTTGCCGCCGGTGCTGCTAGTTCTTGGAAGTAGATAATTCTTGGAAAGTGATCAGCGGTAGAACTTC